CAATAATTCTTACACAGAGACAGCTGAGAGAAAATTATTAGCAGGCACAACTTGAGTACAAGGCCATCTTCAAAGCACTCATCCTGATGCTCGAATCGAAGGCATTACTTTACATTTAACGTGATTAATTGCTCTTAAAATAATAAAGATCACCCAGAACCGTAAGAACAAAGGGGTGATTGAGCACTTATAAATATTCAAAGTGCAGACATATGGCTTCTTTTTATGTCTCTGCTACAGGTTGGAAGCCTGGCTTTAACCCACGGACATGAAATATTAGGTGGAATATGTATAAAATGTTATTGATTTGAGTGTCCATGTGCACATTTGGATCTCATCTGTAAATTCTGAGCCTAGGGGAAGAAATGTAGCAAATGTATACCTGATGGGCAATGAGCAAAGAATGAAAGGTGCTTCACTGTGTTTCGGTAGGAGAAGGCTGGAATTATTCCATTACCACTCCCAATTTTGAAGCAGGCATATTGTTTCTACCATGTTTGTCTTTTCAATTCTGTGCCCAGTTAATAACTTGCTTGGTTCCTGCAGCATACCCAGCCATTTCTTCTTTTCCGTTTGAGGAGAGCAACAAAAACCTCTTAGCTTAGACTATGTTTTGAGAACCTGTAGCCCTTCAAATGTTACTGGACTACAACTCCTATCCCCCTGACCATTCTGGCTGAAGCTGTCAGGAGTTGGAGTCCCACAACATCAGGAGGGCCACAAGTCTCCATCCTTTCAGGGCCGGCCTGACCATTTGTATCGCTGAGGCAGTTGCCTCAAACAGCAGGCTTGGGAGGGCTGGGAGAGGCGGCAGATATGGAAAGAGATGGGTGTCCTCACACATCTCCTTTGGCTGTGGATGCAGCACCACAAAGTCGAATTAATGGATTATTGGGGTTTGGGAATTTGTTACCTGGTGGAAAGTAGTCCTTATAAAAGGGTTCACTGTGGTAACTCCCATTATTGTTATGCTTCATGTTCCAATATTTTACCTCAGAAGGTTGCCATTCTTTATATACTAAAAGTCAAATGTTTTACCTCAGAAAGAAACACACACACACACACACACACACACACACACACACACTTTTTGTCCCCTGAATCCGCTTCTGCTGTGGCTGCACATTCCATCTTAAATCTTGTTGCTCCATTATAGTAGTGTTTGTAAAAACCCTGCTCCCAATTTCCCCCACAGTGAATCTATTTTAGACCATCACCACCCAGCCTTATTATAATTAATATTAATTTTATTATTTGTACCCCACTCATCTGACTGGGTTGGGACGCGGGTGGCGCTGTGGGTAAAAGCCTCAGCGCCTAGGGCTTGCCGATTGAAAGGTCGGCGGTTCGAATCCCCGCGGCGGGCTGCGCTCCCGTTGTTCGGTCCCAGCGCCTGCCAACCTAGCAGTTCGAAAGCACCCCCGGGTGCAAGTAGATAAATAGGGACCGCTTACTAGCGGGAAGGTAAACGGTGTTTCCGTGTGTGGCTCTGGCTCGCCAGAGCAGCGATGTCACGCTGGCCACGTGACCCGGAAGTGTCTCCGGACAGCGCTGGCCCCGGGCCTCTTGAGTGAGATGGGCGCACAACCCTAGAGTCTGTCAAGACTGGCCCGTACGGGCAGGGGTACCTTTACCTTTACCATCTGACTGGGTTGCCCCTGCTATTCTGGGCAGCTTCCTATATCCAGTAAAACATTAAACATTTTTTAAAAACACCCTCCCCTGCTGCCTTCAGATGTCTTCTAAAGGTTGTATACTTATCTCCTTCTATTCTAATAAATATTTTCTCATCTTGGGACACTTCCAGCTTAAGCAAAAAGTGCTTGTGTGCTTGACCTCAGTTAAAGTAATATCCCGCTCGCTTTCATTTGTGTATTTTTCCTAAAACAGAGCATGCTAATATGCAATAAAAGACGAGTTAACAATATTCTGCAGCGGCCTAAGCATGTGCCTGCCTCATTGCCAGCAAGGATTAAGTGATCACTGACTGATAATGTGGTTCAACCCCTCCCCTCCCCTTCGGGGAGGAGAGTCTTTATCACACAAAATAATGTTTAGTGGATCGGCACTACAATAAATTTATTTCTTATGTGATGCATGCTAAATATTTGATCAAGGAAGCTGTTTGACATACTTTAATGTGTGTAAAGACTGCGCCCTGCTGGTTTCCTAGCAAAATAAGTGAAAATATGAAATGCTTAAAAACCCACTTGCTTGTAAAAGAAATGGGCAGAATTGCCTCATTAAAGTAACAATCGCTGGGCCTTTAGCCATTCAGTTTTCAGGATGAACAACCAACATTTACTGAAGCATAAAATGTATGCATGCTGGACTTTGCCTGGAAATCTTTATGTTGGTAGCTCACATTTTCTAGCATGGCTAGACAAAGTATTTATTATAATGACAAAAAATGACACTCTCATGCTAATAACTGCACATTTATATATATTTTTAACATTTTACTAGCCAAATATTCATTAAAAATCCCCTCATTGTGTATCTATTGCATTTGATTTAACTGAAACCTGTTCAACAGTTACCCAACCAGGCTGAATACAACTCATATAAAAACTGGGGGCTATTAGCGGTTCAATAAACTTGCTTTTAGTGGCTTGTCTGAGATTGCAAAGATTTTTTTTAAAAATGTTTACAGTGTGAATATATGGCTGGTAGGCTTCTGTTTAGAAAGGTGAAAACTAGGCAGGCCTTATTTATCCATAGCTTGAAAACAAAAAGGCTGTTCTATTCACATCCTTCTTTATTCTTCTTATTTTAAATTAAACTTGATATAGCAGTAGAGTGGCCAATTCATCTTCACAACTACGTGTACACAAATAACAGATTCAATCACTTCTCAAAGGTGTTGTTGTGGAAATGATGAATTTCCCTGGGGAAACAAGGAAATCCAATAATTTTTCTAAGCCAATATAGGGGTTTGGAAATCTACCCTTGCCCATACCGAAAAAAGTCTCTGCCAGTGCCTTCACCCATAATCCACCAAAACAAAAGTCCAACTTCTTCTCCTTTCCTCCATAAGGGACCGTGACATGGGGGTCATAGCAGAGGTGAGGTTCCCATTAAAGTCTTGTTCTTCTTTTCCCTCCCTTTCTCGCTCCTCTGTATACTTAGCAATGACACTTACCCAGCCCTCCTGGGTAAATTTCTGACAGCCACTTGGGCTTTAGATGCTGGCACACTACTACAAAGGTCAGGGTGATGGAGAAGGGAGGGGGAAAACCTTGTGTACCTGGCCACTATCATTCCAGCTTACCAGATATATGAATGGATGGGGCAAAATGTGTTTTGGGAGAGAGGGCTGGAGGGACAGGCAAGGGAAGCTAGGAATTCTTCCCCGGGTTAGATATCACTCGAAGCGTTTTCCAGAGAGATGTCTGCAAATCTTATGGCTGTTTTGAGCATGCTGGCATTTTGACCTTGTTTCTGTTTACATCTCCAAAGGCACAGGTTGAACTCTTAATTTACTATACAAAAGTTGTTACATGATGCTAAGAGTTCTTCGTTTTAAGTTGCTTTGCGGTGCCTCTTGTGCAAAGATTCGTTAATGGTGAAAAAGCAGTAATGATTGCGTTTTGATTCCAGGAAGGAGAAAAAAGGACAGAGTGAGTTCAGATGATAATTTCATCTCGATTTGGCAGATCAAAGTTAAGGCACACTTGTCGTCACTGTGCCCATGCTCACCTCCCTGTCAAAATGTGATCCTGCACACAAATAATCCAGTGCTGCAAGCTTCAAAGATAAATGCAACTTATTCCCCATTGGAAAATCAACTGAGTGATTAAGGATTAAACATAGGAATGACCAGCTTTTTTTTTTTTTCCAGCCGGAACTCAGTTCTGGCTCCTCTCAGGTGGGCAACATTGCCATTATAAGAGAACAAGGGAGGCATTCATGGTAAGTTCCGGCACCTCTTTTTCTAAAAATAAATAAATATAGCAGTGGGGATGACACATAGAAAATCAGCCTGTATAGAAGTGTGGGGAGAAAGCATGCCAGGTTGGGGAGGGGGCAACCAGGCCCTGCTTACAGGCAGGGGGTTAGGTAAAGGGACCTCTGACCATTAGGTCCAGTCGTGGCCGACTCGGGTTATGGCACTCATCTTGCTTTATTGGCCGAGGGAGCCGGCGTACAGCTTTCGGGTCATGTGGTCGGCATGACTAAGCTGCTTCTGGCAAACCAAAGCAGCGCACGGATATGCCGTTTACCTTCCCGCTGGAGCGGTACCTATTTATCTACTTGCACTTAGACATGCTTTCGAACTGCTAGGATGGCAGGAGCAGGGACCGAGCAATGGGAGCTCACCCCGTCACGGGGATTCAAACCACCGACCTTCTGATCAGCAAGTCCTAGGCTCTGTGGTTTAACCCACAGCACCACCCGCGTCCCTCTGGCATGGGGTTAGTTTGGGACAAAATGCCATTGGAAACACCCCAGGCTTTTAAGGTTAAACCAGGCCTTTTGACAGCCGCAGGACTGTGGACAGGCTTGACATTAAAATATTATTATTTCTTCACCATCTTGAGATGGTTGGGTTATGTGGAGCAGAAGTAGCAAGTAGGATGTCAGTGAAACATTGGGCAAGATTGAAATTTTGTCACTCTGATATGGGTTGACTGGGAACAACAGAAAAGACTGGAGCCACCAGAATCTCTATCAGCTATCATTGCTCAGTTCCATGGAGTAAAGTGGATGGTTCTTTGTACTGTTCTTGCAAGCAGCCAGCCAGATGAAGCACATATTGCATGTGATGGAAGAAAATAGTTTAGCTGAAACAAACCAGTAGCCCCTGTGGCTTATTGCTGACCAGGATGCAAATCTTAAATGTGTTTTTTTTCCTTGCAGTTGAAAACATCCAATACATAGCCCTGAAAAAATAATCACTTTGTGTTGACTTCTCATTGAGAACAAGCCCATGAGAAGGCTATTATGCTGAGAGGGAAGGGGGGAATAAACAAACAAACTTCTGACAGGAGACAGGTTCGTTTAAAATATCTATTGAAATTACAAATAAAACTCTTCAATATGATTCGAAGTACAAAACAACATTCAAAGGCATTCAACAGCTCTTTTATACATCACAGTGTTAGTGGCACGAAATGTAGTTACATTTCAAATACAGAAAACAAAAATTAAATTCTTTTTACACTAGTCAAATACATCATTTATACATATGCATGACTCCTCCGTGCTTCTCTATGCAAGGTTAAAAATACATCCATGGTAAAATGAGTAAGGGAGGGATTTGTTTATAGGGCACATACCTATACCTGTACCAAAGGTTCCTCATCTTTGTTAAGAAAGATACACACATTAACAAAGCCAGAACCACCATGGGGCTTTAAACACAAATGGCAGGCATTTACTTTATGGAAGAGTATTAGTAAGTAAGCATGATTACAAGCTGTCTGGAAATCCCTAATGCCATCACCATCAACTAAATCCATTATTGTCCATCTTCAGCAGAGTCCCTGGGAGAAATCTCTTTGTAAAGCTAACCAGGCCAAAGAGTTTTGATACACACACACACACACACACACACACACACAAAACCAGAGATGAGTTCCATGGGCTGGCTCTGTCCTGCATTCCCTCACCATTTTTTTCTTGTTCAACTTAAGACTTTTTTCAACATTATTTCTGGAATTTGCTGCAGTTTTCAGTTCACTTTTTTTGTACCACCCTCTCTCCTACAGGTTACTGGTGCGCAGGAACTTAAATTGAAGTATGGATAAAAAAAGGCCTTCAAAGGATCTTGGTGCAATGCTATGAGCATTGCCTCAGGTGGACTTAAAAAAAAGAGAGACATCAACAAGCATGTATATGCACTGATGTTCGTTAAAAACAAATGAGAAGGAACTGAAAACTGACACATTGTGTGCAAGCATAGCAGCATGAACAAAGTCTGAAAATCAAAAATGGAACCATGATGGATTCCTAATGCATTGGTGCGATATTGCAATGAAGATCAAGTAATTCAGAAACCCAAACCCATAGAGGAAGCAGCTCTAGGAAATAAACTATTACTTTCTCTCCCGACCAAATATTTACAATTGCAAACAAGTATTTGTATGTATATATTTCTTAACATGGTTCATATGTCCAAAATTTCTGTCGCTCTGCTTCAGATAAAAAGATATTGTGCCAACTACACTAGACCATTTGTTGCATACAAAGAATTGGTCTAAATAGTTCTGATTTATTTATTTTTTTGCAGCCCAAAGGTACACAGAATAAAACATTATCTAAAACACTGCCATGCCCAACACTAGAAAAATGGTGACTTTGTAGGGTACAAGGGTTGAGGTGAAGACAACTAGAATTGTACCCCAAGCGCTTCCCAGAGAAGCTTGAAAGACACAAGACTCCTGCAAAATGAGGTTTCTTTAAAGGTGGGTGAGGAAAGATGCAGTCAAAATGACTTGCCCCACATGGGTGAAGCTCAATTTGGCATACACTGGAGTTTGGTCTAAAGTTTAGGGACCAAGTGTAGCAGAACATTTTGCTAGTTGCTGCTCTCATTTTAGCGTGTGTAGAAGTATAACCCAGGTCAGCTGGTAGGGGTTGGAACGTCCTAGGCCATGGAATGAGCTTTACATCAGTATTGTCCAAAAGAAAACACATTATGTCCATTAAAAAGGGATTTAAGGCAATGCACTAAACGCAGCAACAGTACAGAAATAAAATACAAGTGATACCAGGAGATGAGGTCCACCCTTCATTAGAATGAGAATAAAAATGCTAATATCTGATGTTCCTCTACAGAGGCTTGAAATTTAAAGTTTAAATAAGTTCATGTTATATCACTCACACACACCCATTTCAAAGAAATACTGACAGTCAAAATATGTGATTCCCAACAAATGGCAACTACTTGACTCTAAGCAACGACCCAAACTTAAAACACAGTGTGATGTGTCTGATATGCAGGATGCAAAAGCGATTTCAGTGTCTGGTTTAATGTTAAAGGAGGTTTTTCCCCCCTCATCGAAGTATTATTTGAGGACGTGATATGTTAGGAACAGCATGGCTTCCAAAGACGGAGGCTGCAACCTGAAAGCAAATAAAGAAGTGTGCCTCTAACGCCATTTTGCTTCTAGTGTGATGCAACTTTGGATTTTTTTGTTGTCTGACGGCATCAGATGGATGGTTGAACCTCTGGAGGTTCTGTACTCACCCACATGCAAGCACACACAAAACAAAGTCGCAGTCAGCAACCTGAGGTAACCAGAGAGAACAAAAGCGAGTGCCCACCTTAGCAGGTCTCTTCCACTTTCCACTGACACTCTCTGCCTCAGCTCCATCTTTATTTGAAAGGGTGAGAAATGGGAGAGCCAGGCAGTGAATTTGTTAACTTCGTAAGCTAAATAGCTGAAAACACAGCAGGGGACTAAGTGTTTTCATACAAGGCGGCCTGTGCAACTTGACAGGAGCAGGCAAACCATCCTCACTTGATGTCTAAGGGGGTACCTTCACAGCAACGTATGATGCTGTTGGTTGGGCGAATTAGTATATAAAACAAAGATAGACAGAACAGGTTCCTTTCCCTCCTGCAATCAATGGATCGATTATTTGGCATGTGGGGAACAGCATGAACCAGGTGTACATTAGATTCACAAGCTACCTGCCCAATCCCCACTGCTGTGTACTTAATGCCTGGAAATTTTTGGTTGTCACCTACCTGAGATGTAGGCCTAGCTCCTGTTCACTGTCATTGCACAGGCATCGAAAGATTTCCCATTCTCTTCATTCTTCGGGATCACGTTTCATATTGATTATACACTACATTTTCAACTCATACTTTTTCCTACTATGGAAACTTATGTGCTTTTAGGAGAGTTTGTTTACAGATCTCACCCAAAGCAGCACGGAAGAATCACATAGAGTAGCCTATCAATATAGTAAGTTGATGTCCACATCATTCTCCTTCAGGATAATGGCAGCACCTCAATTTAGGCAAGACCCGGGACAACAAACAGAGCAGCAAAATGATAAACAAAGAAAAACGAAGGTGGGGAGAGAGGGCTGCTTAAAAACAAACAGAACTAAATGTTTGTTGTCACAGTATCATACAGCACGAGATATAACAGTTTTAAAAATGGACTGGAAAACCTATCAGTCTCAACGGACTCTTTATATTATTACAACTGCGGGCGCTTGCATTAATTAAAGAAAAGTGAAAACAAAGCAAACTCAAGAGAGCCTAAAAATCTGCATACTCTATAGGGTGGAAATGATTGCACAAATAAATTTACATCTCATGCACTGAGATGGATGTAAGGCTCAATACTACACTCTTTCCTTCTTCCCTCTTCATTCTATTCAGGAGAAGATCTATTTGGCTTAAAATGATATATAGGTACATAAAAAGATACCTGACCAGAGGTAGCCCTATTTATGCAACACGTAGCCACGTAACGGGTGAGAGAGATGTAGAAAAGAATGTCAGACAGACTTTCAAAGAAAAGGAATACCAACATCTTTTTTTTAAAAAAAGAGCCTTGATAATAATAGCAGGTCTGGGTTGTGTATCTCAGCCTCTATGGTTGGCAATGACTTTTTCTGTTCCAAAGAACAAATGTGCATCCACACAAATAGTTCACGTTTCCCAAAATGTTAGGAGGCATCCTATTGAAAAGATATAGGCATAGGATGCCGTATGTCAGGGGTGGCTAACCTTTTTTAATAGATGCATTCACACTTTGCTAACCCTCCATGCCAGCGGCGGGTGCAGTTTGCCCCCCCCATACTCTCACATGCTCACGGACAACACACATACGCATGCAGATCAGCTGAGAAGCGGGGGCTACAGCCCAATCCTATCCAATTCCCCATTATGGGGAAAAGGGGATCCCTAGCTGGTGCTGGGGTGGGCAGAAAGGTTTCAATCCCCGTCCCCCAGGCTGTGTCTACTTTTTTAGTGTCACTACCAAATTTGGTGGCATGAGGGATGCAGAAACATTGGCTTGGAGGGCTGCATCAGCCCCCACCCTCAAACATTCCTGGCCTATACGTACGTGACCAGATTGTTCTTATAATATTGCATGGGAAACAGCTTCAGGGGTGTATAGATGCCCAATATTTTCCCAGGGCAAATATTAACAGAGACTTCAGTTTCATTAGACAAGATATTTAAAGTCACACTTTAAAATGGGCTGATTTTTTTTTTTTTAATGGTAAGCGATTCTTAAAACACACATGTCTAACACCTCGATTTGATGCAAATAGATATGCTGAACGGGCTTTGTTTCGACACCGTAGCGTCTCAGTTCCAAATCGGCCAACGTAGCCTTGCGTTACTGACACATGATGTTTCCGACGTCCCAGCTTGCTTCGCGCTGGCCCCCCCTAAAACACACCAGGATATGCCTTGCACTCTGTAAACCGACTCGCGGGCAAGGTCGCTGGGAATCGTGGCACCTCCTGCCTCCTGCAATGTTGGGAATCAGGGCGAGTAAGGCCAACGCAATGTCAAGTGCAAGAAGAGGGTGGGTGAGTAGGAAATGCACTGCGATGATGAGCCAGTCCCACTTTCACTCCACCTTAAGTCGGGAGGGGGTCGTCGTCTCCTTTACTACACTTGCACTTGCAGCAAAGCACGAATGGGGTAGCAAGCAGAAGGAAAGGGGAGGCCACTAACAGTAACAGACCAAACCCTGCAAAGATCCCCACGACCTGGATAAAAAAAGAAAAAGAAAGAAGATCACATATGCCAGCAGTTGTTCTCAAATAATCTGCTTGAAGGGGGACTGGGGGGGGAAATCTCCCCGCCCCCTTCCAAACTGTGCAGCGGCAAGGGGTTGCACACCGTTGCAACACACACACACACACACACACACACACACACAGTTCTGCACCCCTGTCACCTGTCTCATGAAAGGCCCTGAGTTTATCCATGGAATTATGCACTCCCCAGGAGAGCCTATGAGGAGGTATGGGATTCAGAAGGGTATTGTTCAATATGCACCTGAGGATTCAGTTTCATGGAGGATCAAAATCTCCAAATTGCTGACCTACTTGAAAAGTATGGTTCCAATGATTTATAAAATTGTCCAGCTAAAGAAAAGTACAACAGATGCAGCCTTTAGCATTTGACATAATACATCCATTAACATAACTGTCTTAAGTTAAACTGGGATGATTTGGGTGGAGGGTTTTTTTTATGGGGGAAAAAACAGCCACTTTATAATAATCTCCCCCCCCCTTTCTGCTTCAGATTCAGATTACTTTACTTTCTCTTTATTGGTCCTGAAAAAGTCAATTTGCTTTTGGCCAGCAGGTGGTACTGTTGAACAACATTCAAAATAAGAAATGGCATGCATTACTTACTGTATTATATAATAGTATATTTGGAGGTTTTCATTTCATTTCCCTTCTCCCCCCCCCCAATAATTCCTCAAATATTTATATTTTTGTGGAGTGGGGAATTTATTATTGTGCTTAACATGGGCTTCCCCCGAATCCCCTGAAAAATATGTCTGCTTCCCTCTCTGCAATCTCCTGCTATACATCATCTCTGAAGTGTAATTCTGGCATGAGCAACACAGCTCCCCATTGCAACAGCATGCCTGCTGTAGTAATAAAAGCTCAGTTGCTCTTTTAATATTATTCTTCCAAGGTTCTTCTATGTCAAAATAAACATGGTAGGTTTTAACAGCTATCAATCTGTCTTGTGGGCCACCTCGATCAAATTATGTCATCTTGGGTTTGCGGACTGATGTCTGTAAATCCTGCAACAGCTCTCAGGGGTGTTTTGTTTCTGCCCAGCAGAAATCTAGCAGCTACAGACCCACAGAAACTACAGGGAATAACTGACTGAGACACAATTTTACCTTACTCTCCACCTCACTGCAAGTTGGATAACTGCCTCTATTTTCCTGCAACGTGACTCTGTAGTCTTTCCACCTTGAAGAGGAACTATTGTTTCTGCACCTCAGATCAGCTTTCATCAGCAATACTTGTATGTGAGGCAAACCAGCTAACATTGCTTTTTAAAACCTTCCCATTTTCCTCATGCCATTTTCCCTCCTCTGACTCCCAATTCCCCACATTCACTTTTTTCATGAATAAGACGAAAATTGGGGGGGGGGGGACCAGCAAATACGCAAAGTCACATCGACACCTACCTGCGTTCTGTGCCAAATAACTGATGCCCTGGAATGACCGAGCTTATTTCGGCAAGGTCCCTTGTCATAATGTATAAGAAGGAAGTCATCCTGTAAAGTGTCAATAAAAGGAGAGGGGGAAATATGCATATATATTATTTCAGCCGTGGCTGAGAACTTGACTCTTGACAAGCAGTCAAAAGGTTACAAAACCTTTTGGTTACAAAACCTTTCCACTTAAGCAGGTACGGTTGCAATTTCAGCTGAATTTTCAGAAACTACTTGAAGCACCCGTTGGGTTGAGCTATTTCAATTGCTTCTTGTTTTCAGCAAACAGCTGAAAGTCTGCAAATTTTGGTAATAAACCTGATTTGTGATGAGGGCTGAATAACTTCGATTGGGAGTCCAATTGTGTACTCAGAAATAAGTCCTACTGGGTTTAGCAAGCAGAGCTTACTCCCAAGTAAATGTGCAGAAGACTGCAGTTCTAGGATCCTGCCACAGGCTAGAGAGAGAGAGAGAGGAGTGAATGGTACTTCTCCCTGTTTTTCCGCCCCCACTCGCAGAGGTCAATTTTCATTTTTTCCCCTATCTACTTTTGGCACATCAGTCACATTTCACAATGCAATGGCAACGTCACAAGCTATGGATTCCGCTGCTGTGCCAACAGCAATGACATCACTGAGTTGGCTCCTTTGGAACAGGGAGCAGCTAACAGCCAGCATAAATGAGTCAGACCGCTCACCTCTATGGCACGGAGCACAAAGTCAATATTAACCGCAGAAGGGGCGGTTAATTGGCAGCAGCCCTTTCAGAGATGTGAGTTAATGCCAGGAGGAGTTTAAAAGACAAAAACAAAAAAACTTAAAGAAAGACAAGAGAAGGAAAAGGTAATACAGTGGTACCTCGGGTTACAAACACCTCAGGTTACAAATGCTTCAGGTTACAAACTCCGCTAACCTGGAAGAGTTACCTCGAGTTGAGAACTTTGCCCCAGGATGAGAATGGAAATTGTGTGCGGGCGGCACAGCGGCAGCAAGAGGCCCGATTAGCAAAAGCACGCCTCTAGTTAAGAACAGTTTCAGGTTAAGAATGGACCTCCGGAATGAATTAAGTTTGTAACCAGAGGTACCACTGTATGCCCAAACTGAGATAGTACAAATAAGACCCCTTCCCCAGTTCATCCCATTTCAGGGTTTGTTCTTGTGCTCTTTTTCTGCAGTTACAATATTATGTAACAAGAAATGTAACCCTAACTTTTCAAAACAGTTCACTGCTTAAAAACAAAAAAGCACAAAAACTATACCAACGAAGTTTACAGCAGCAGAGAATCAACATTTAACATCCCGCATCAAAACATTCAGTATGAAAACTTAAGATTAAACAGCCCATCATATTAAGAATTCACATAACCACCACCACCCAGAAACAGCCCTAAATTTAGCAACAAAAAATGTATCTCTAAAACAAAGCTAAATTTGCTTTCAACAGCAGCTAAGCCAAAGCCGAAACTCTGATATGGCCAAAGTAACTCCAAACTAAATGTCACTTCTGTCCCAGATGATGGGGCTTTTTATGCCATAAATATATACAAACTCTAATTTTTTGCAACAAGGTTAGTTCATGCAATGGTATCTTGCTAATTGTTTGCTGCAGTACAGCTAAATGTATGGCACAGTCTGTATTTATGTCTCTGTATTTATGTCTACAGAGGCAACCTAACTTTCTGGGACTTGTAACATTTCAATGCTTCCCTTTACAGTTTTTGAATATTATATCAATGGACATTTTGAATGCTTTATTAACAGGAATTTATTACAGGGATAGAATCAAGGAATTTCATCTTCCAATCTTAAACTCAACTACGTATACTTACGTCAAGTGATTCCAAACAGTACCAGCAAAAGGCATGTTTACAGTTTTTGCACATCATTTGGGCACAGCCTTCGTCCCGTTCAATATAAACTTTGCATTTCGGGCAGCGTTTGATGGGTGCATCATCTTCTTCCATTTTATAAGCAGAGCTGGAAGAGATGTTTTGGAAATTTTATGGGAGAAATGTATCCCGAGTCCAGGTTCCCGGCTTGGTAACACGGTAAGTGTTGTTAATTAAAAAGGAGAATTTATTACAAAAACAAACAGATAGCTCCGGACGGCTCTAACAAAGCATCATCAATCAAGATGACCCTTCTGAAGACCCCTTCCGGTTTCTACAGAAGATATTGAACTTTCATACCTTGTCTCGTTTTGTTTCCTGTCTAGCAGCCCTCCCATTTTGATGACTTTTAGGAGAGATTGGATCAGCTCCAATCTCTTCCTGTTCTGACAGACTGCTTCCGTCTCTGTTTGCAGCTGTTGGAGCTTTCTGAGAGCTTTGGCTGTGTTCCACCCCGCTCTGTTGTTCCCTTGGCAACCAACATTCCAATGTCCGGAAGAGTTACCCTTGTCTGCTGTGGTTTTTGCCCAGCCTAAGTACAATATGAGCCAGCGGTGGCCAAACTCAGCCCCTCCAGCTGTTTTTGGACTACAACTCCCATCACCCCTAGCTAATAGGACCAGCGGTCAGGGATGATGGGAACTGTATCCCACAAACAGCTGGAGGGCAGCGTTTGGCCACCACTGATCTAAGCCTCTCTGTTCCTGGCTGCTTTCTGCAGTTGGCTGCAAACCTTCACTTGGAATTGGCTCGTTCTTGACAAAATGCTCTTGGTTTTTAAAAACTGCATTTCTTAAAACACTCTGAGCCTTTTGCAGACTGAAGCTATTCCTATGTCTGCATGGATTTGTCACACAGCCACAAGACCAAAGGCAGGTTTTCGTTTCCACTGAAACTACACATCCTTCATCTTTATCATTCAGTTTTAATAGCTTCTACAAACCTCAAATAAGTCAGGTTGACTAACAATACATATGCCAGCATTGCTTGTATAAAATTGATTTGTATAAATCTAGGAATTGGGGGCGGGGAGCTAAGCTGTGCACACAATTATGGGCTCCTTCCAATGTTACTTGAGATGGTGGACAGCTCCATGACTTTTTTTCATGCTGATCAGCAGCATTAGAATTCCACAGGGAAACTGAGTAACATAGGTGTGCTGATAAAGCCATGGTATGGAATATTTCCATCAGAACATGGACTTCTTACCAAACAGCAGGGCATAGAGCCACAGTCCAAAAGGTAACCCACATTGACAAGGTGACATCCTAAAACTTCCAGAACCTTGAGGAATTCCTAGCATATACCTGGTTTCAGAAGTAGGGCAATCTATCTGCCAGAGTTGGGCTTTTTCTGCGTCAGTCTTGTGATGGGAGGGAGAAACGGCTTCAAATAACAGGTGAATAAGGAGACACCTGAGGCTATCACAATGAAAATCAGTCTTTTTTAAAACAAAACAAAAAAAACTGCTGAGCGAAGCTGTTAATGTGTTAAGAATTATGCCAACGTCAGTTGGTAATATACAGTTCTATACCTTGTTTCCCCTGGAAGGTAGCTGATTGGCATATTTTCTTGACAGCCTTGTCCCGGATGCCAATTGGATTTGCACGCCGAGCAAAATTCTATGTCGCAAGATTTGCATTGTACCAGCTGTGGGTTCTGGGGGCCTGATTCCTGAAGCTGACAAACCGCTTGGCAGGAAGAGGATGGGCACCAAGTCCGACAAGGATCCAAAAGCACTTCTGTGGAGGAAACAAACTGCAGTTGGGAAAAGGCCACAGCTCAGTGAAGGAGCATGTATATAATATGCTTTTGCATGGGTTCAGTTCCACAGCATCTCAAGGTAGGGCTGGAAAATCCCTGTCCTTGGAAGACAATGGCTTGACTCAAGCATAAGGCAAAGTTTTTAAGATGCAGAATTCTTCTTGAATCAAGCCACACACAGTGGAATGCCAATTCCTGATCATATCCAATATCTTATTCTTTGGTATGGCTGTGGAATATCAACGGGAAGCAGGAAGTTTAATAAATAAATAAATTTAAATACCATTTGTTTATAAAATGTTCCAAGTGATGTACAACCATATAACGAAGACATAAGAAAAATAAACAAGAACCTTGTTAAATAGTATCTGTAGCCTCATTAAAACAGAGTCTACAATAGGTGGTAATGAATGTAATCAAAATCAATAAATGCCTGGATGAACAGGTAAGTTTTTAACATCTGTTGGAAATACAATATTGACAGCGCATTTCGAATTTCCGTGGGGAGCTATCCCGCATGGTTAAAAAAAATAAAAATAAAGCACCTCTTCCTCATGTTTTGGAAATGTATTTTCCACACACGAGATTGAATCCAATGTTAGTCATGCTCAGAGATGACCCTTTGAAGTTAATGAACATGGGCACATTATTTTCAGTGGGTCTACTGTGAGTGGAATTTAGTTGGCTACAACCCCCAGTTTGGGGCCACCTGGGATGTCTGCTGTATACCTCTTTCAAACTGTAGCTTCTTATACTTCTGCATGATTTCTGATGCAACCATACACTCAATCTGTTTTAAAGAGAGAGAGAGAACGAGAGAGAGAGAGAGATACAAGCATCCGATTAATGATAGCGATAACTAAAGGGATAACAGGCAAAGATAGACAATGAGCTTGGAGCAGAAGTTACATAACGGCAAGACGCACAAATATCTGCAATAACAACTGAGCTGAACTTTTACGTAAGACAAATTCGTGTCAGGAAACGTACTTCATTTTCTTGAAGATGACCTCGCTTCGGGCAGGAGGCATCAGGGCAGCTAATGGCTGTTTCTAAGCCTTCCTTGATCAAAATCTCCACATACTGTTTCAGGCACTGTAAGAAAGTCAGACCCAGTGGCTGTCAATATTATTCACCATTGAAATATATGCTTCAACAATAACAGTTGGTCTGTCATCCAAAAGGTGCAAATCCCGATGGGTCTACTCACGTGAGCAGCGTTATTTCAGATCTTCCTCGAGCGTTTTTCACGCTATTAATCTTCCTTCTCCAATACCAGGCTGCTCACCAAAGAAGACCCCCGCCTCTGCTCCTCAGTTTGAATGTCTATTTGTACTCATCGGACGGCTCCTACAAAATCTGACCTACCCATGGCCCAGTTGAGATGTTATGGCTGACCCCAGTTTTGATGCCAAGCATGCGCCTTTCCTCTGCACATGTCCAGGCTGGTAATATATTGGATGTAAACAGTCATGTGGTTGGTTAGACTCCAACTTCCTGGAAGCCAGCTGGGAAACTATGAATAGTTTATTTAGAGCTTGGTTTGCCATGTGAGGATTGGCCAACCCTTCATCTTAAAAGGAAAGCCAACCTTCATTTGGTGAACAAGTCACTAGCCTATTAGAGTAAGCAGTGTTCTGTGTTTAGGGAAGCTTTTAATGTTTGATGTATTACGGTATTTTAATATTTTTCTGGAAGCCCCCCAGAGTGGCTGGGGAAGCCCAGCCAGATGGGCGGAGTATAAATAATAAATTATTATTGTTGTTGTTAATGCCCTCCTGCACATCCTTGGTTCAGGGTAAACCACAGTTTGCTGTTACCTTCATGACAGACCAGTAACTATGGTTGTAACTGGATATAGTTTGCTTCCAAACCAGAATCAGAACCATGGTTTGAAGTGCTTTCCATTTCTGGTTTGGGGGAAAACAATGATGATTGGTTACCCGATTCAGACCTCATGTCAACCCAAGTTTCCTGCTTGGCAGGGGGTTGGACTCGATGGCCCTTGTGGTCTATTCCAACTCTATGATTCTAAAATTAATTTATAAGGCTAAAAGTGCATGATGGTCTTTCCTCCCCCACCCCCAGTATGCAAGCCTGATGTTCCTGATGACCAAGCTATAGTTTGACAGGAATGACTGAACCAGACTCAGACTTGACCAGACTCAAGAGAAGGTTGATGAGTTACAGAATCAGACACCAGGGATCCAAAGGGCTATTTTGGGATAGCCCAAGGGCTACAGCTCAGCTCGCCCAGTGGGATGTGTTGAACTCTTTCCCTTTCAACAGCAGCCTGCCATATGACCAGAAACAACTGTGGCGTGGGGGCTGCTATGGACTAAGTTCATTCATACAATCCTTGGAACTCTTTGTACACTTCTATGGTCCCTTCCCAGCACACAGGGCCTATTGACAGTTACATTTAAAACCAAGTTTGCGGCAGCTTCTTTTTCTAAGACTGGTAACATGTTTTCATCTTTCGTGGTATGAACTGTGGATTCCCACAGCTCTTTCCACAATGCTCTTAGCAACTACCAAGCCGTTCCCATCTTCAAGGATACAATACTAGAGCTTTTGCTATAATCGTTTTCTTTATATAGCTGTTTCCACCCACGGTGCTTTACATAAACGAACCCATGCTTTTTAAAACACACACACATATATGCATGCTCAGGCAGCCTCCATTCACACCAGCAGATACCCGCCCACCCCCCAGTTGCCATAGCTTTCTTTCATATGACGTTTAATAGGTTTTAAGTGAGAATCCAGGTTTTGGGATTAATGGTTGCAGAAGAAATGGAAAGCATATAGGTTTGTGTTCTGCTCACACTCAGCCTCTCTCGATGGGAGGGAATGGGTGCGCTGAATGGGACTGTAAGCAAAACTTGTACACATATGTACACATGTGGCAACCTGGTGCTGTGCTCTCTTTTTCCTTTTATGGTACCTCTGAGGCCAACTTCCTTCTCTTTCTCCCATGTTCCCAATGGCTAAGAACTGCAGACTCTAAAGAGAATGGAGTGGTGGGAATAAGAGGCACAGCTAGGCAGGAGAGGCACAGATAGGCAGGTGGTCATTTCAATTTCACTTTGGCTTCAGTGGAGGGAACTAAGGCAGTGTCTCCCAAACTTGTGCCTCTAGGTGTTTCTGGACTACAGTTCCTAACATCCCTGACCACGGGTTCTATTAGATAGGGATGATGGAAGTTGTAGATATCTTTCCTCCCAAGACACCCTAAAGCAGAACGGGCCTATTTCATAGTCTGTTCAGGTGACTGGATCTGCTCTGAGGGATTCCAGTCCTATTACAAATTACTAAATGAGACTAGGCTCTCCCATCCGCTTTCACAGAAAGCGCTGCTCATTTGATGGTCCCTCTTCTTCCTCCAATGAGACATACAGTGACCCGGGAAAGGGTATTCTCAGTGTTAAGTTGTGGGTGAACATATCAGACGACACAGCGATTCTCCAAACAGCTCTTGTTTATTCACAGATCAGAACAGAACTGAACTGAAGGGTTCAGCCAGCCTGCTTATATAGAGCTCCAGTACAACGTAACTGTAACAACTTTCTGTAACTATCCAATCACTGAATGTCACTTTCGAACCCTTATTTGAATATGTGGACCTGAACTATCTACAGTATCCCCCTGCTGGCCCAGGGTGAGAACTTCAGTACATAACACTCAGGCACCTCAACTTCCCTCGCAAACCCAAACAATGCCAACTCTTAAGTTGCTGGCATCAATTAAACACTTATTTATTTGCACAGCCCTGTGGGTGATTTATTGGCCTCTATACCTGCTGCTGTGTAGTTTATTTATCTTGCTGCTATTTTATATTTTTAGAGTTTGTTGATGTGTTCCCTGCGGGTTGGGTTGTTGGGTTAGGTATTTTACTGGCAACCCACTATGGGATCATCTTGCATGCTGAACAGCGGGATATAAATATTCAGCACGAACAAAGAAATATATATATATATACACAAATTGCCTTGCGTAAGCAGAGCAGCCTTCTGCAGCGAAATAAATATGGGCAGGGGAACTTTGTGCACATCACAGCTCTGTGCGCTCACAGAAGATCACAGAAAGAAGCACATCTTTCTTCAACAGGCGCACCATTAATGATCATCAGCCACACACCACACAGTACTGGGACCCGGCTGGGCAGGGACAGTGAGATTTCCGACATGGCGCTGTAAGTGCGATCGAGAATGCTACCCCACTTGCACATGAGAAATGTGTATTAAAATGCGACTGCGTGCATATCTGATGACAACATTTAGCCCTCAGAGAGCCACATCTAGAGATGAGTATACTTTGTGAATGATTCATTTAAAACAAAAGGGCTTCTTCCCAGCAAGGTTAGCTGGAATTTTATTTTATTTTCCGAACATCTTCCAAACAAAAGAGGATACAGAAGATCCCCCTGCGATACATGGCAGGCAGTCCAGTTGTGTTAATACAGGTCTACCCATGCATTATTCTGAGATCTACAAGTAGGTATACAAATTTAACAAATAAATAACAACAACAATTCAGGTTCATTCCCACTATAACCAGGTTTGTTTGTTTTTTTAGTGCAGAGATAAACTGCTAAGTGGGCAAGGATGGCAGCTGTGTCACAACACATAACACAATGAGCTGTTGCTACACATAAATAGCCAGAGGTAGCATGCTTGTACGGCGGCGTACAACATATCCATGCATCAAAGCTAGCAATATATAGTACAAGAAAGGCAAAACCCATGCTTTGCACTGATGAAACACACCACTCATGAGCTCTCATAATCAGAATAATTACTTGATAATTCATTTGGGCTAAAGCATTTTTACATAAAGATGATAGATGTCACTGAGGGCTGTTTTATCTCTGTCACAAATAACATTGCTTTTAGTGTTGTTGCACAGAATATTGCACAGCAGATGTTCACATTGCTTAGCACCCCTTTACACTTTTTTTTGGAGGGGTGTCCACTTAGTGCCGATGTTTTTCCAATCCTCTCTGCTTGGGGCAGGGAAAGAGGGCACCCTTGTCTCTATTGCCAAAGTAACTAGGACATCATTTGAGCATGTAACTCCAATCCCAGCGCAACTGCTGATTAGTTTCCGGGCCCACATCAAAGTGCTGGTGTTGACCTATAAAGCCTTACACAGCTCAGGACCTCAATACCTTAAGGCTCACCTCTCCCCATACAAACCCAGCCTACTTGTCATCTGAGGCCCTTCTCTATGTCCCCCATCCCAGAGAGGTTCGGAGGGTGGCAACAAGAGAGCGGGCCTTTTCTGTGGTGGCTCCCCGATTGTGGAATGCTCTCCCCAGAGAGGCTCGCCTGACGCCATCATTACATGTCTTTAGGTGCCAGGCAAAAACATTCCTCTTTACCCAGGCCTATGGCTATTAAATAATGTATGGCCTGTGAAAGTGGGGGGGAGCTGATATTATGATGACTATTTTATTATTGGGCTGTCTGTCAGTATGCTTTTTATTATGTTTTTATCATCGATGTTCTGTAATGTGTTTTTAATGCTGTACACTGCCAGGTATCTTTTGATAAAGGGTGGTGTATAAATTGCAGCAGCAGCAATAACGATAATAATTCTCTTGCATGAGTACAGAGGAACAACATCCATATATGGGTATCATTGCTCATACCTCTTCCAAATGCAAGGGAGCAGGGGACCAGTTCATTCATGGAGCCAGTGTGGTGTAGTGGTTAAGAGCGGTGGACTCGTAATCTGGTGAACCGGGTTCGCTTCCCTGCTCCTCCACATGCAGCTGCTGGGTGCCCTTGGGCTAGTCACACTTCTCTGAAGTCTCTCAGCCTCACTCACCTCACAGAGTGTTTGTTGTGGGGAGTGGGGAAGGAAGGGAAAGGAGTTTGTGAGCCACTTTGAGACTCCTTAGGGTAGTGATAAAGCGGGATATCAAATCCAAACTCTTCTTCTTCATGGGAATCTGCCTTGTACTAAAGAGACCTTTGTCTCTCTAGCTCCATATTATCTGCAATGTTCTCTCTAGTGCCATATTGTCTACAATGACTGGCAGTGGTTCTCTAGCCCTTCCTGGAGATGCCAGGGTTTGAATCTAGGGCCTTCTGCATGCAAAGCAGGTGTTCTACTGCTGAGCTACAGCCCTTCTGTGAACAGGAGCTCCTGCCCTCTTCTACCTGCCTCTTTGCAAACTTGTTTCAGCTGCATTTCTTCTACAAGCGAGGATGGCCAACTATGCCAGGGCCAGCACTATGTCTGTGGTTTTTTCCTCTGCACCAGAAGATAACAGGCAGCTTGACAACCTTGGAAAGCTCTTCCCGCCCACACAGCGGTGAAACGTGGGCTGAGGAAACAGGTCCGTTTCTGCAACCTTCGTACCGCGCTAATCCTGCTCGGCTGGCAAGTAATTCCCCTGCAAAGCATCAGTGCATTTTTAATCACGGCTGTGGCTTATACAAGGCCTCAGATGGAGCTGAGAGGGATGCTTCCTTTAAAAAGGACACAGGGCTACATGTTTGCTGGAGAACATGTCAAAGGGCACTGGCAGCAGATGCTCTCGCAAAGCTGCTCCGAGAGAGAGCACAGTGCTGGCTACCCGTTAAAAGAAGCTGGGATAAGCATGACTAGGGGAAGTGACTGGCTGCGGACGGTGAGATTAATAGCCGAGAAACTGGAATATATTCTAGGAAAGCAGTTTCAGAAATTGTCGCCGAAAGGATTAATTAGCAGTACTCTTAGGTGCTTCTCAGCTCGTGAACTGTGTTTTAATTTAAAGACGGTTTGATTCCCCAACAGCCACTCACCCTCACATAATTATCAATCAGGGAGAGGCATGGGTGCGGGACACAACAAGGAAACACAAACCCTGGTTAAGTGCTCAAACACACACACCGGGAATCTCTTGCTATCGCTTAGCGGTGATTGGGTTGGTTTGTAATAGAAACTGTTCCAAAATATAACATTGTGAATTAAGCTACCTGATCTATTCCCCCCCCCAAAAAAAAACGAAAACATTATGCTAATGTGTCAAGGAGATTATCCTTTATGAGCTCCTTTCCAGCAACACTTCAGGGGTTGCCAATGTAGTGAGGGCTATTCAGTTATATAATGATCCTTTACTAGTGCAGACTAAAACGTTGGCGTAGGATGTGTACTTCGTTCCGACTATGTAGTTCTGAAAGATCTCTGTGTGGCTCTTTTTCCATTCATTTTTCCACCCACAAAAAAGAAAGAGATCTTCCAGCAGTTCCTACCAACGTACTGAACTGTAATAAATGGCAGATCTCTTAACAGCTGCATTTAGTCCTCCCCAGTTTAAGGGAGCTGCTCAGAGCTGCAATTCTATAAAAAAAAGTTCGAAGTAAAGCCAAACCCAGTGATTTCAACAACAACAACAACAACAAAGAGTCTAGAACAGTCAAGTTTGTACCTAGGCTCAAAGAGTCTAGAACAGTCAGGTTTGTACCTAGGCTCAATCGCTCCTAGAAACCCTGCCTTAAAGGGCCCTTGCCATCATTCCCTTTATTTACAATATTCAGGCTTTCAGTACCATTGTTTATGTAGCCAAAATGCTCCAATGCACACACAAAAGGGAGATGTCAGCCAGCTTGGGGCAACCCAGAGGTTTATGGAAGTACAATGCAAGCTTCAGAGAAAGTGGGAGGGAAGAGAACCTCAAAAACAGCCAAATATGGAATGAGTGTAGCCACAGAATTGTTGACTATCCGGATAGTTACAAATCAGGCAATGGGAAACCTGAGCAGGGCAGCGCTCCAGGCCTCTCTGACTGGTTTTCAGAACTCTCCGCAGCCACCTCTTGTCTCCAGGCCACACCGCTCACCAACCCTGCTTCGCCTCCTCCTGGAGCTAGAATGTGTCTGTGAACTGAGAATAGGCCTTGCTTGCTAAGGGAGCGCTGCGTGAGTCAATTAACAGTTGCTGCTCTGCTCTCGTTTGCTCCCTCCCCTGCCCCTTGGAAGGTTACTCAGAACGGAACATGGCACTGAAAAAGATTCCCCAACCTTGCTTTAGCAAAAGGACTGTGTGGACAGTGCTGTCTTTCAGGCTGAAAACCAAAGTGTGGGGCAAGTCACGCTGCCAGTCGTGGATTTGAAAAGCTTGGAACAGGTACCTCGAGCAGCCACAACCAAGTGGGTAAGCAGGAAAAGGCGCATTGCGGGGAGGTCCAGAAAATAGTTAAACTTTTCCAGTTACCTGCTCTATAAGGGATGATTGCTGCTTGTCACCAGCAATTTGTATGCGTGCACAAATTCCTGCGGCAACTAGCAGTAGAGAGCACAAAACTGCAAGCTAAGGGTTTGTTGCTGTTGTAAAACTTTGCATAATTGAGCTAGATGCTCTGGTGCTAAAATGTTGCTTTTTGGTGAATGAAATACTGTACGGTGGTACCTTGAGTTACAGATGCTTCAGGTGACAGACGCTTCAGGTTACAGACTCCGCTAACCCAGAAATAGTACCTCAGGTTAAGAACTTTGCTTCAGGATGAGAACAGAAATCGCGTGGCGGCAGCGGGAGGCCCCATTAGCTAAAGTGGTACCTCAGGTTAAGAACAGTTTCAGGTTAAGAATGGACCTCCAGAATGAATTAAGTTCTTAACCCGAGGTACCACTGTATATGCAAGTGTGGGGGAACTACCTCACTGCCCAGGGAACATGGAGTTGCCCTTAAGCCTTCCTGTGCTGCGAAGTACAGTGCCTGAAGGAAATAGAGAGTCCCCATCACCTGGGCAAGAAGAATGAAGCTGCAGAAGAATGAAGTTGAAAGTCATTTGGGTTGCATTTTTTGTTTAAGCCAAGGGAGGAGTTTTGCACCCTATACCCACCCCCAGAATCCCCCAAGAATTTCCTGCTTGGCTGTTGCTTAGACTCAGTCCTATTAATTTCTTTTTTAAGGGGAAAGAAAACCTGTAGAAGTGGGTGGTGTTCTTTGACTGAAACTAGTCTTCTTCCTTGCTACCCTTCTAGACACGACCCGGCCAAGTTCTCCCTGTGTAAATACATACTGAAGCTACTTTAGGCTTTTGTTTTTAACTGGAGATGGATGAAGCTCGACGCCCACTCGCTTCCCGCCCATGCCATTCTCAATACACTTATGACCTTAACCAGATGGCTCTTTCTTTTCTGTGGCACGCTGCTTTTCAAAACCCAGACGTCAAAAGCTCCACACAGCCGTTTAGGAGATTGCTCTTTGGCTTCTCTGTTTGAAATGTCGCTGATGTAGCACAAAGACACCCTCCACACACACACACACACACACACACAAACACACACATTCCATCCCCCTCTTTCTTTCAAATGTGCTTTTTTATGAAGAAAGGCACACAACTTAATAAACACAACCTCACAATCCGGTAACGGATCATAACAATATGGGTCTGAATAAGCCCCAGGTGCCCGCTTATCCATAAATGGGCACAAAATTATCATTATAATATTTTTAACCCTCTGCAAAAGTGGCACCTATAAGGATTACCTCCATTTTATCCTCTCACAAGCGCTGCAAGTGAGATTAGGCCAAATGCCAGCGACTGAACCAGCAAGGTGCATCTTGGGAGCTTCTGTCCAATAAACCTCACCACTTCCATCTTCCCTGAAGCAGCCCAGAATTTTCCCACAGTTCTGTATGTGTGGTATTAAGCACCAGGGTAATACAACAGGAGGTGTAAAAGCACCACAACAACCCTGGGACTATGCCCGCACGCCTGCATTAACTATGTACGCATGCACGGCACGTACAACCCACAAATCCTCAAGCATAACTCTCGTTGGCTTGCGCACAGATCTTGGCGGGTGTGGTGTGGACAACAGAACCGTTTCCAGCCGAGGCGCATACATTGTTTGAAGCTTACTAACCAAAGTACAGAAGATGCACTGGCATTGTGCGATTGTTGTCATCTGCTCCACTGGAAATTCTCCAAGGCAGAGTTTGCACGACACGAGAGGATCGAGCACCAAGTCCCAAGTAGGTCTGTATCTTGCTGTAGTCATTGCAGAACAATCTGAAATGAGAGAGAAGAGATGCATCAGTGAAAGAAAGAAAGAAAGAGAACTTTATCAGACACCTGGTCCATCTTCTGCCGCCTGGCCTCGATGCAAAGCTGAGTGTCAGGGAACTGCCATCGGCTCAGGGGCGAGAGGGGAAAAGCCGGATGGATTACAGAGAGCCCCCAAAGATCGTGGGAAGCAGCTCCTCCTCCGCGGAGGAGAGTAACCGCGCCTCCAGTGGAGAGGAGCTTCAGGGCTTGGAGGAGGCGAGGTGGTGCCAGGACACCTTGGCCTGGGCAAAGCGGGGAGGAGAGAGGTCCTCCGTTACCCACGCCCTCCCTGCGCAGTAAGCTTCCACGCCGAGAGGGGAGGAGCAGATTGGGCATCAAGAAACTACTCTGCTGGGGAAGGTTTAAGGACCGCCCACTCACAGATTCTGCCAGTGAATGAGCCAGCCACGGGAGAGTGGCGCTCTGCACAGAGAAAGTTTATTTTGGCATCAAAAGCAAGGCTTCACAGCCGAGCAGGGAGGCATTTGCCTACTTGCTCTCGAGCAACCCCTTGGTACCCTAACACTGAGCATAGCCTTATTTTTCCCTCCCAAATGGGAAATGTGCATAGAAAGGGGACAGGCATGGCCACCCTACTTGACTGGGTGTTCTGCCCACAGTGTTTGGGCCACAGGTCAGTTTATCGCATCAGGCTATTCGTCACTTCCATCACAGCACTAATGGGCTCAATCACTATTCCCGTTTCAAACTGCAGAGTGTAATGATGCATAGAGTGGACACTTAAGACATAATCTTGTTCAGGAGAAATGGTTTTATGTTATCACATAACTCATATGCACAGGCCAAAGAGGATGTTTATATTCAGCAATGGCCAGCCTTGCTGGCAAACGTACTGTAAGCTGAGTCCAAGCTTCGGACTGTGCCATGCTAGTGAATCCTGACCCTTGGTGTGTTTTTAGTTCTGTTCTACTGAGGTGGGGAGCAGAGCAACACAGCCTGAGCTTTCTGCCACAGGCTACATAATCCATAACATACAGCTCCCCCATTCTTTTAAATGCCCAAACACACACCTGCACCTTAATGCTAAAAGGGATAAAAGCCCATGCACTCCCACCAGTCTAATGAACAATGTACAGTGGTACCTCAGGTTACATACGCTTCAGGTTACATACGCTTCAGGTTACAGACTCCGCTAACCTAGAAACAGTGCTTCAGGTTAAGAACTTTGCTTCAGGATGAGAACAGAAATCATGCTGTGGTGGTGCGGCAGCAGCAGGAGGCCCCATTAGCTAAAGTGGTGCTTCAGGTTAAGAACAGTTTCAGGTTAAGAACGGACCTCTGGAACGAATTAAGTACTTAACCTGAGGTACCACTGTAATTACATAGATTCATCCCTATATTGAGCTACAGTTTTAGCTTTTTTCATAATTCATATCTCAGCTCAAAAGGCTGCATTTTCCTGTAACTATCGATTTGTGGACTTGAAGCCCTCCAACCGTTACGAAAAATCGCTTTATAGTTTGGCCTTCAGGTCTCCAAGGAAAGAAACAAACAAAATATTTCAGTTCTTTGCCACAAAGCAGTATCGGGCAAAGCTAACACTGAACTGGCAAGAATTGGATGAGAGAGAGAAAAGCAAGAAAAGATCAAGCAATCATATATGGGGGTGGGCGTCCCAGATCATTTCTTCTGAAAATCCACGGCATGAACTTTGCTCGTGGCGAGGGGATAGAAAAAGGTACCGAACAGGATATTAGCTCTAAATCATGTTGTTACAGAGATATAGCGGACCTCAGAGCAAACTATTTTCCTTGTGTGAAGTTCTAAGGGTGTGCAAGACTGTGTGAACCAGGCAGAAGGAGGAGGGGTATAGATATCTGTGTGTATATTAAACCACACTTTTTGTTGGTTTTGGTTTACCGGGGTTCACTCCCCTCCCCCCCCCCCACCAATCAACCCAGGCCTGGTTTTAAAAAACGTTCATACAAATGTGTCTCTTAGAGATTTCCTGGAATATATAGAAACCACTTTATTTTTAGATGGCTCCATTTTTTGCTTCCAAACTGAGAGACACTGAACTACCTGAGTTTATGCGGGAATGAAATTTGCTTACCAGTACATTTTTAAGCCTTGTGATGCATCGGGTGTACCACTTACTGCTGCATTACAAAAACAACACTGAAAGTGGGAACATCAAGAGATGCCATTTCATCTATGACTACTCAAGGCGCTGCTCTGTTTTCAAAATGCCAGGGTGGCTCAACTGTACTATTTCCCTCTCAAGATACACACAAGTAGCAGAGAAGAGCCTTCCCCAGTTGCCAAGCCTGTGGGTTTCAAAGGAGAAAGTGGTTGTTTATACATATGTGCACTCTCACAAGTGATGTGGAGGCACTTGCTCTGCTCCCTATCCAATTACAAAACACAACACAACAAGCTGCCCTTGGAGAGGAAGTCTGTTGTCTGTGGGTGAGAAAAACGCAGGCACTTGGTTGGTGCGAAGCAGAGAACAAAGAGGCCTGTTTACTTGTCGGGAGCCAAGTGGGAGTAGAACACTTAATATTTTGAAATCCAGGGTTGTGTTATTTCCTGTTGGGAAGTGCTATAGGGCCAGGCTGTGTGCAGGCCACAGAACCGTTAAAGGCGCAGAGTCCGTCCAGGGAAGAAAAGGGTGTCCATCTCTTCTATTATTGTCAGGGATGGTACACAAGAGAGACATCACCCCTGAGAGAAGCTTTCGAAGAGGCTGGGCCTCATGTAGAAGCAAGCAATACGACGTTGATTTGTACCATTAGCTACTTTTTAATTTTAAGAAAAACCCATCAGTATAATATCCACCATCCCATAAGATCTCTTCTCTCTCTGCTGACCTCATCTCTCTTGCAGCCTCATTCTCCAACTCTGCCCTCGCTAACTGCCCTCTTGGTACACCGGACGATCTACTCTGATGTCACCTGCAAAGCAGCATGACATCACAGGCACTCTGGCTGCCATTAGCTCAGCTTCAAATAACTCACACGCTGAGCAAAACTACACATCATGAGTAATGCCAGTCCAGTAAATGATTCTCCCTTGTAAAGGAACTCTCGTTAAATATGAGTCAGGAAACCTGCAGGGCGGGGAGTGGGGAGACGGTGTCAAGAGAAAATAGTCCACTAATGAAAGACCCTAGCCTCTTCGCATTCTGCCCCCTTTTTTGCTACAAGCTTCCCCTTCCCAAAGATGTTTCAAAGGGGGCAAGGAGCATAGCTCCATTGTAATGATTTTTTTTAACTGGACCTGAGTGCCCTAGAGCAGCCCTCCTCAATCTGGTGCCCTCCAGATGTTTTGGACTATACAACTATGAAGTCTCACTGGATAGCTCAGTTAGGAGAGCATAAGATTCTTAATCTCAGGGTTGTGGGTACGAACCCCACGTGGGGCAAAAGATTCCTACACTGCAGGGTGTTGGACCAGATGACCCTAGTCCAACTAGGGTCCAGTTCTATTCTTCTAACTCCCATTGGCTATGCTGGCTAAGCCAATAGGAGTTGGAGACCAAAACATCTGGAGGGGCACTGGATTGCCTTTGAGCGAGTGTGGGGAAATGCTGGCCCTTCGGATGTGGTTGTAATAACACTCCCAGCATCCCTGGCCACTGGCTACGTCTGCTGTGGCTAATGGGAGCTGTAGTTCAGTAACATCTGGAAGGCCAAAGGGTTCTTGGACCTGCCTTAGAAGTGTCCTAGGTCCAAAAGCAATGGACTACCCTTACCCAGACATGATGCTGTTTGGTAACACCGTGCAAATTGGCCAAGTAGTTTCAGAGCCTTATGATGTTGAAGAGTCCCATCATATGCAGCTGCCGCTTGTAGTATGTAATTAATCCCCAAGCCAGGTGATCAACAGAGGCCTGCATATATATTATTTGGGAGGTTGAATGAGGAAACGTTGTTCCTAAGGGGAAAGATTATGAAGTGTGTGTGTATGTGTTGAATCAAGTCAACCTAGGCTGCACCAATGAGGGTGCATATGGGAGAGCTGGGCAAACTTAACTGGGAGCGAGTCCCATTCAGCAAAGTGTTAACCTGTGTTAAGAGCAGGGGCACTGTCCCAGAGAAACAATGAAAATAATATCATGAGGCACAGCTTACAAAAGATGGAAGCAACATAAACATCCCACAAGCTTCCTGAGGGCTATTTCACTGTGGTAAATTATTGTCCCCAGTATATACAAGTCCACCCATAATAGCAATGAAACATGGCAGAGCCTTAGATACTACATTTTACAGTGTAATGTTACAGAGAATGTGAGGGAGCCACTGGAAAAAATATATATACTCCCAGCGTAAGAGTCTTCCTTCTTTGGGACAAAAGGCATGTGAGTTGGACCTTCCTTCCAGGTGGAAGGTTGTTGGTACCACAGGTGAGAATTGCAAGGCAAACTCTAATTTTGGCCAGGCAATTTCTGCCCCCTTTGGCAATTACTCGAAAAATATGAAAATGCATCTGTTACTAATATACCAATGAAAATTACAACGTACTTTGTAATTGAGGAAGCATTTTGTGAATTTTTTATGGTCTGCTTATTTAAAACTAAATGTTAAAAAACAAGGGGGGGTGAAGGAAGCATCTTAACTAGAAGATAGTTATTGCTGCCATGTCCGTCTCAAGCAGAAACCAAAAATTAACTTCTGAGTTAGTAAACTGATTAATTCCCTCCATGTTTCAGCTGCTTCTCTGAATGTGGTTTAGCAATTCTAGCGAGCTAAGCAAATTAAGGAAGAGGAGTGCCAGATTTAGAAATTAACTTTCCGTTTCAGTTGGAGCTAGAACAAATTCATGTTCCCCTTACAGATCGTTCTGCGCTTCTTAAGCAAGCAACACTAGTTAAAAGTGTTGCTTAAAAGCAATTCTCTCTGATCACCACCCACCTACCTTCAGAGGGCAACAGGATACAGAACAGGGCCTCTGATGACAATTATACCACCTGGAGACAGTTCTTTAAGTACCAGGGTCCAAAG